ATCAAAATGTATTGACAAAATTGATTTTCCCAATGACTGAGAAAATATTAACTTTAAATTTATGCTCTATAATCTATTTTCCAGATTAAATTTTGCAGATAACCAAAATTATTCAACCAATTTGTCATGTCCTTTTAAAGAGTGAATTATATTAGTGGTTCTTACGTTTTGCTATTTGTTATAGTATTTTTTCAATTCTATCTCTAAATTCTCTTTTTAAAAATTTTATTTTTTTAATAATAAAGTTTAGAACTAATTTCTTATCAAATTTGTTTTCTTAGTACTTATTTTATTGAAAGATTTTGAGACGAGTAAAACTTTCATATGATATATGAAAGTAATAAACACAACACAAAGATGATAGGGAAATACTATATATTTGTCGATATCTTCCTATTATTATTAGTTAATTTGCTAGATTATATTATTAATTTAGAATCCAAATGATTTAATTCAACATCCATAACTTTAGTTATGTTCGACCATTTTTTTGGTTGAGTAACCTATATAATTTTTTTGTTGGTATATAATGATTAAAGCTATCATTTGTTATATTTTTTTTTAAGTACAATTCAAATAATTTGTCATCAAATTTTTTTTCTTTTTTTTTTATAAATAAAATGGATTAAACTATTTTCTTATAGCATTTTTATAATCCTTTTTTTATCTTGATTTTTTTTTTTGGTTAAATACTGCACGAACTAAGCAAGTATTATTCAAGTTATAGATAATGATTTATGCTTTGATATGATATGTATGTGTCATTGATAAAGGAGATCAAAGGTAGAGAGTTGCTGACAAAACCAATTAATGATTTGTTTGAGAAGTTCTTTTTATGAGTAGGATAACAAACTTATATTAAAAAAAATATAAAATTACTTAGAAATTGTAATTATAATTAAAATGTGAGATTTATTCATAATTAGGTCTTACAATAATAATATAAATCACTGATTTAAAAGTCTAAGTAAATTTATGATAACTTATAAAATTTCTTTCTTTTAATGCTTTGTTTTTGTTTTCATTTTTTTTTTTCCTGCATGACACTATAGTCTGATATAAGTTATTTACGTTATCAAGTGATCGTGACACTATTATCCCCAACAATCTTTATAACTAACAATTTTTTATGCATATCAAATTTTATTGTGAAATTTTATGGATTAATTATTGATAATATCTACCAAGATGGCCTAACATCATAGTTTGCCACTATTAAAAAATAATTCAAGATTAGAATAATTTATTTATCACATAAAATATATACAGTTTGTTTTTTCATGCATCGCATGGGTTGCGGTTAGCTAAGGACAAATAAAAGAGTGAATTTGGAGTGGGTAAATTACAAATACATCCCATGAGGTTTACTTAAAACACAGGTTGGTTCCTGTGGTTTGAAAAATTACATATACCAACTTATTAGAATTTTTTATTTAACATAATTAACTAAAACAATAAAATTCATAATTGCTCTCATATACAATAATAAAATTACGTAAATTATTAATTGAAACATATTTTTAATATCATTAAAAACTGTTAATTGACTTGATGATTTATTAATAAAATGAGTATTTGTTATGAAATTATAAATCTCAGAGGGTGGAATGTAATTTTCAAAAGCACAGGGGGCGATTCGTATTTTAATCAAATCTCAGGGAGTGTATTTGTAATTTACCCTATTACTTAATATTTTAAATAATTTTCATGCATAAAATATTTTACTTTTTAGATACATCTAAGTAAGATGCATCTAAAAATGTAAAAAAAAAAATTTAAAATTTTTAAAATATTCACTAAAACAAAAAAAATAAGAAAAATAAAAAATTCAATTTTTAAAAAACTAAAACCAAACCTACTGAGTAACTTTAGTTTTACATATATGTAAGTAAATTTTGTGTTAGTAACTCATTTTTTAATTAAAAAAACAATATATATTTTACAATTATGTATAAAAGTCTCATTTTTTAAAAGTCTCAAGGCCGCCTGAATGTGGGGTTGGTATGTCCTGACTCTAATTTGTTGATGAGGTTGATGTTTATGGATGGATTAGTCGACTGACTTGTCTGAGATGATTTTAAAGTCGTGAAAATTATTGCCATGTACCTTCCAAGTCGGTAGTGGTTGTCTTCAATTATCAATATTTTGAATAAAAATATCTGCAATTTAATAATAGAATATCTTAGTGATCTCTGTAAAAAGTGTTGTTTTAGACATGTGAGAGAATAAGAGAATTTTCTTGTAACTAAAAAAAAAACATTTAAAAAAATTATTCAAAAATTTATCTAGAATCAAAATGTATGGACAAAATTTATTTTCACTATGATTGATAAAATATTAACTTTAAATTTATGCGCTATAATCTACCTTCCAGATTAAAAGTAACTAAATTATTCAACTAATTTGTCATGTTCATTTAGAGAGTAAATTATACTAGTGGTTCTTATATTTTGCTATTTGTATTATTTTGATTTTTATATTTTCAGTGAGCTCAATTTTAATTTTTAATTTTAAATTTTGTATCAATTTAGTTCAGTTGATAATATCTTTAGTGCTTTTAATAGAAAATAATCTTTGAATTAGTTGAGATTAATCAACTGAATTGAGTAAATTTATAATTTTATCCTTAAAAATATGACACATGCCACTTATCTATGTATTTTTTTATTAAAAAATATTAAGAATTGTAATCAATTAGATCGAATTAAAACAAATTATAAATTTAAAATCAAATTTGAGCCAATTGAAATTATAATAACCAAAATGACACGGTAGTTTGTTCCCTTCTATATTGCAACTGGAACTTGCATTTCCTGAATGGAGTTTTATACTGCTATAAGATCCACCATCCTGTGTGATCCGATTTCCAATTACATTGTCTTGTGTGCCTTTGAGAACTAGATGAAGTTCAATATGAGGAAATTCTCCACTATTGGACTCCTTTTAGTTGTTTTGCTTTTCAATGAAACAACATTGTCCTGTTTGCGCACCTTAGCGTTGCACCAACGTGTAGCATAAGTAAGGCAACGTCTCAATCCGTAGCTTGCTTGTAGCATAATGTAGTCCCTCAATGGACTTAGTCAATACGTAGCTTTATGCTTTCATTCGATAGCCCACATACGCGGTGTTGTTTTCCAACCGCTTAGCTTAAGCCACGGGATCCCCTCGTGCAAGGTTGAACCCAAACCAAGCACTAGAGTTGGCACACGAGGCCTTTAGTGGTGCCTCGATAGCCCATTCGATCCAAAACGAGTACCAAAGATACCATATTGCACGCGCAGTGCCAACATTATTGCACCGTCCACGGGGCTCCCAAACCCACGTGGAGACCCTAGACACCCCTCTGGATGCCTAAAGCCCGCCCTTGAGTTGCCCTAAGGTTGCTCACTTGAATCCCAGTTTGGGCGGGGAGGTAGGTAGGTAGCACACCTTGCCCCCTTATATATGCTTGTTAAGCAATTTTCCTTCTGGCAGGAGGAAACATCATGCATGTCCAAGGAGTCATAATGATTTTTCATAATTTCCACAAATTGAGAAAAATCACGAAACTTGGTTGGGAAAACACTTCCCCTAAGACCTATCTCTAGTAAAAATTTCAGCCTAACACTCCTTCGTTTGAATGCCGAAACAATGCGCCAAAGTTCTGCACTGCTGGCTGCCACTGCTTGCTGCTGCTGCTGCTGTATTTTGCTGCTGCTAGCACCGCTGTTTGCTGCTGCTGGCAGCACTGGTTGGCTATGGGCATGGGCTGCGGCTTTGCCGTTGGCTGCCTAATAGTGGCCTACATGCCTTAGGCTACATGGGGCCAAAGTTAGGCCACGTTGGGGCACTTCCAACGGCCACTCTTGAGCACTCAAATGGCCACACCACCGCGAGTGAACCATCACGGAGTTAGCCTTGCAAGGCAACCCAAAATATCGAATGCTTTATTTAAAATTTGTGTATTGTTTGAATTTTGAACATCACTCTAGTCTGACTATGATTTGGACCCTAGCCAATGGGGGTTATTTATTGGCATAGAAACTAGTTTCTTTTGGGGCTTTACCACCGGCCTATGTGTGGTTCTGGGCCTTGTCACGGGCTATGTGACCGTAGTCAATAAGACTTGGGTTTTGTGAATCAAATCATTGAACCATCTGAATATCGAACCATCGATTTGAACAATGAATTACTTTGAATTATCTTGTTGGCTTTTCATTTAAAATGTATTGTACATTGTTTATTTTTAGCCATGAAACCATCTTACAAAATAATTGTTCATTTATTGAACTGTAGAAAAATTTATATTTATTGATTATCAATTTATTTATTTATTTTTTTATACTTGATCCAGCTGGCAGTGATGGTTGGTTATTTACTAGGCTGTCTAGCTTACCCTTATTTTATTTTTTTCAGATTCTGAAGAGTAGAGCTGCGTGGGATTTTTTTTTACATATGGGAGTGCCGAGAGTAGGACTATGATTTAAGTACTTGGATTATTTTGTTTTGTTAATGGATTTTATTAGTGGACTTGGTGGATAATTTCATATGATAAGAATAATCAATTTTTTTTATGGATTTTAGTATTATGATAATTAAGGGTTTGATTGGAGTATTTTACATTGTTAGTTATGTGTTGGACTCTTAGCCTTGCATGCTCACTTAAATGAGTGTGCGGCGTTGTCACGGAGCTTGGGACGTGACAGTCATAATGATTTTTCATAATTTTCACAAATTGAGAAAAATCACGAAACTTGGTTGGGAAAACACTTCCCCTAAGACCTATCTCCAGTAAAAATTTCAGTCCGAAACTCCTTCGTTTGAATGCCGAAACAACTCGCCAAAAGTCTGCACTGTTGGCTGCCACTGCTGGCTGCTGCTGCTGGCAGCGCTGGTTGGCTATTGGCATAGGCTGCGGCTTTGCCGTTTGCTGGCTATTAGTGGCCTACATGCCTTGGGCTACTTGGGGCCAAAGTTAGGCCACGTTGGGGCACTTCCAACGGCCACTTTTGAGCACTCAAATGGCCACACCACCGCGAGCAAAATGTCACGGAGTTAGCCTTGCAAGGCAACCCGTGACACATGGCCAAGATTGTTGCAGTTGGAAAGGAGTACAATGTGATGAAATTATTGGCCACGTTGTTGGGCTTGATCTCGGTGTAAACTTCTACGTACGCGAGTACAACCCTGGTGTTCCGTTAGTGGCTAATGAAGTGCACTCTTGCTTGCTTCAATTGAAATATCTGAATCACTTGGACTTGAGCAGAAACTCTTTTCACGGAAGCCCAATCCCAAAGTTCTTTGGATCGATGGCACGACTAAGGTATCTCAATCTGTCTTATGCAGAGTTCAGTGGAATAGTTCCCCATCATCTCGGAAATCTTTCTAGCTTGCGTGTTCTTGATATTAATAATTGTAAAGTAACTTTAGATGATTTCACATGGGTTTATCGTCTTTCATCATTGCAATACCTCAACTTGAGTTACATGAATATTAATCGAACGCAAAGTTTACTCAAGGTACTAAACATGATTCCTAGTCTGCTAGAGTTGCATTTACCAGGTTGTGGACTTGATAACATTCATTTATCTCATATGCATGTGAATTCTACTATTTCTAATGTTCAATACTTAGACCTTAGTGATAATTCATTTGAAGGAGAACTTCCGAGTCCCCTTAGGAACATGACTTCTTTAAGATTCCTTGATCTTCAAGGTAATCAGTTTAATTCTTCTATTCCTCTCTATCTGGAAAAGCATAAGAGCCTTGAACATCTCAATCTTGGCTACAACGCATTTCATGATGTTAGTGGGATGTTGAGTCTAATGTCAAATCAATGTAGTTTGAGATCATTTGATATGAGTGGCAACAGATTTGACAAAAAGATGTTCATTTCTTATGGAATTTTGTCCAGTTGCACCATGTACAATTTCGAGACATTGTGTTCAAGTGATAATGGTTTCATCGGTCATTTACCAGATTGGTTGGGACAGCTTAAACATTTGAAATACCTTGATCTTTCAGGGAACTTGTTTAATGGTTCGAATCCAAATTGGTTGGGAAGAATGTCACCCTTGCACAATATAGTCCTCTGTGCTAATCAATTTATTGGGGTCATCCCACTGTCGCTAGGGAACCTATCAGCCTTGAGAGTACTAGATCTTTCTTACAACAAGTTAAATGGGACCATTCCTGTTTCTATTGGACAATTATCAAATCTCAAGATCTTAGATCTCTCTTCTAATTCCCTGGAAGGCATAACTCATTTTGCCAACCTCTCAATGTTGGATGAATTGAGAACAAGTTATGCATTCCTGACATTGAAGGTTAGATCTGATTGGATACCTCCTTTTCAATTGAAATCCATTGTAATGGGGTCTTGCAGAGTGGGGATTCAATTTCCTCAATGGCTTCAAACACAAAAGAAAGTTATTGAATTGGATCTTTCCAATACTAGCATATCAGGAACCTTCCCCAAATGGCTTCTTGACATGCCTCTTCGGACATTAGATCTCTCTCATAACCATATCAGTGGACCCATTCTGAAATTGCCTTCCACTTTAGAATTTGTTTGGCTTTCCCATAACTATATCTCAGGACCTCTTCCACAAAATATTGGTGATATGGTGCCTACTTTGCTTACTTTGTCACTAGCTGACAATTTGATAAATGGTTTGATACCCAATTCATTGTGCAAAATTTGTACTTTGAAGGAATTAGATCTTTCTAAGAATATGTTATTTGGAAATCTTCCTCAGTGTTGGGGGGATTCAGGGGAAATCCCACATCTATGGGTTATGAAATTTTCATCTAACAAGCTTTCAGGGATTATTCCAAGCTCTATTGGACATTTGTCTAGACTGGGATGGTTACATTTGAATAACAATAGTCTTTATGGAGAGCTTTCTATGGGTTTGCGAAATTGCACAAGTTTATTAGTTTTGGATCTTGGTGAGAATGGATTCTCTGGAAACATACCTGGATGGATTGGAGAACTAGAATCCTTGAGAATTCTGAGACTACACAAGAATATGTTTAATGGCAAGATTCCTTTACAGTTATGCCAACTATTAAGTCTCCAAATCATAGACCTTGCAAACAATAACTTGGAAAAAACCATCCCTCGCTGTTATGGCAATCTCAGTGGTATGGTCTTGTATGAACATTCAAGACTTGAGTATGGGCAATGGTTTTCTGAAAACATGATGCAGGACATGAAGGGAAATGAACTTGAATACAGCACTACACTATTATATCTAGTGAACATGGATCTTTCGAGGAATAATCTGACTGGAACGATCCCTGAAGAGCTCTCACTTCTTTCAGGTTTGCTTGGGCTTAATTTATCGCATAATAATTTGACAGGAAGCATTCCTAAGAAGATCGGTGGCTTAAAGTTATTGGAATCTCTTGATTTCTCTAACAATCAACTTTCAGGCACAATTCCGGAGAGCATGTCAAATTTGAGTTTTATAAGCCACTTGAACTTATCATACAATAACCTCTCAGGACGTATCCCAACAGGTAAGCAGCTCCAAACTCTTGATGACCCTTCTATTTATGTTGGCAATAGTGAACTTTGTGGAGCTTTTGTACCGAAGAAATGCTTTGATGACGAACATTCTCAACCTGCTAAGCCATCCACAAGTCATGAAGAAACATATGAAGGAGATGTGTCTGAAAAGGTATGGTTTTACTTGGTTATAATGAGTGGCTATGCCACAGGGTTATGGGGAGTTATTGGAGTTTTGTTGTTCAAGAACTGGAGGCATGCTTATTTTTGATTCGTTGATATGATCAAAGAGAATGTACTAGCAGCTATAGTAGTGAGAGTGGCTCAATTTAATAAGTAGAATGGCAAGTGAAATCACAATGATTTGCTTTCTTCCCTTCTCTCTCTTTGTAGTGTTTGCATGGGTGGGTGGGTAGTTGTTTGAGTGCACTTCTTTCTAGTTTTTTCCCAGAATAAATTTCATGTTACTATCACTACAAGAATTAACACTTTTGGCAACAAAAAAATTGGTCGCTAAAAGTCTATTTTTGGTCGGCAAAAGTTATCCGCGACCAATTTTTTTTGTCGCTAGTTTGGTCACCAATTGAGGGTCGGCAAAAGTAATTCGCGACCAAAATTTTCGTTGGTCGGGAAAAGTTACATTTGCCGACTAAATTTTTAGTCGCTAAATATTTATTTACTGCGACTAATCTATTTTGTCGCTAAAACATTTTGGTCGCGAAAAGTTGCCTTTTACCGACCAAATTTCTTAGTCACCAATTGTCACATTTCGCGACCAAAAATTAGTTTGGTCGCCAATTGTGACATTTCGCGACCAAAAATTTTGGTCGCCAATTGTGACATTTTGCGACCAAAATTAGTTTGGTCGCCAATTGTGACATTTCGCGACCAAAAATTTTGGTCGCCAATTGTGACGTTCTGCGACCGAAATTAGTTTGGTCGCCAATTGTCACATTACTGTAGATGGTGGTGGAAGTTTTATGTGTGGAGTTTTATATTGTAATGAAATTATTGTCGTCGTGAAATGATTTATTATAATTGATTTCTATAGTAATAAAATTATTATTATTTTGAATTGATTTTTTAGTAAATGATATGATACCAATATTAATAATTTATGTTAATTAATTTTTGTAAAATATGTATATCAATATTATTTACACTGTGCCTTTAGATACGGACATACGCTAGTATATATATAAAGTATGATGTTAAGGTTTGTTTGTTTGCCAGAAAGTAATTATTTCTTTGATGGGTTTGTAGCTGTGTGGGCCCAAACAAGGGTACAAGACAAGATCAAAAATAAAAAATAAAAAGAGGTCTGACTATTTTCTAGGAGAGGAATTTAATTCTTGATCATTCTTGGTGGATGGATTATTAAAATATTCAAATTTTGATTTTTCTTTGCGAGAATAAATCAAACGCATGAAAGTGTGTATGAGCTAGCATAAAGACAAAAAAAGATTTTTTTTATTATCTTTATTAATTATCAATCTTATCTATAAGTTGTGGTGAGTCATCAATCTTATTCAAAAGACACATGATGAAAAAATATTTTCTGAGGGAATGAAGCAAAGCGTGGTCGAAGAAGTAACAATATGTATGTCTGAGAAATTCAAAATTTCTCATACATGCAAGGGGCAAAATGTAAGAGGGGTTAGCTTAAGCCCACTAAATTAATTGGATCAAATCGAAGTCCAATCAAAAAGCACAAAAATTGGTGAGCATAGAAAAATTATTGCCAAGTGGGCCTAAGTGAATTATATAGAACGAGTCCACGAGAAAGCCAACAAATTGGGCCGAGGAAGACCCATCAAGCAGATATCAATAAAGAGAGTCCAATAAGCCCATTCGAGGAATCCTAGACCATACGGGTGTTCGAGGAGGTTAATCATTACTTTCAAAAGAGATGAAAACCTCGGAGGAGATCTATTCTCCGAGGTATTGGCTTAGTCTTGAAAGGGTTCGGAACCACGAACCTAGAGACCTATTTGAGCTCGGACTCGAAAGGGTTCGGATCCACGAACCTAGAGATCCGAAGTGTTTGGCTTTGAACAGATTCAAATGCAATCTAGAAGTCGCTCTGTTAATGAGTCTCAGAATACTTGCGGGCTCGGAGTTTTTCGGGATCTACGCACCAGAACCATGGGCGTGATGGAGTCCGAACAAAGGACCCGATCCCGAAGACGATGAGTGGAGATAAATTCACTCTTCGGTTAAACTAGCCTATATCCGGGTCGAGGTGGCACGATCTAGGGGGTCCTTGAGACTCGGCAATATTTGCGGCAGGGCGTTCTCTTGAACTATCACTGACCCTTTTGCAGTAGGGCGTCCTCTGGGACTACCCCTGACCTTTTCGGATGATTGGAGATCATTCGTTAGGCGTGGCTAAGAAGAAGGGTTCGCTAAGAAGTTGATCTTCTTTTCGAGGGTTTTTTCTCATCCTCGGAGAGGTCATCTCCTCGGACAAGGTGATTAGAGAGAATATTCCCCATTTGCCTTGCACCTGGGCTCCATCCTACATCATGAGGTGTCTATAAATAGCACCCACCCATAGCTTTATAAGGGATGGATTTTGGAAGAGATAACTCTTGGGAAAGAACTAATTTCCCTTCTCCATTATCAACCTTGAGAGTGAAAGTGGGAGATCCATGGGAGGGCCTTGCCGTTATTCTCTCTCTAACTACTTTGCCTTCTTCTTCACCCAATCTCTTATCTCCATCATGTCTTTGCTTTTGTGTTCTTAGTTGTGACTATTGAAGAATCTAAGTTTCTCATCATTTTTAGAGAATTCAAATTTTCTTCAAAGATTTTCGAATTTTCCAACAACATTCTTGAACCCTCTCATACACTTATTAAACTGAATAATTTGATCTTTATATTTTAAATTTAGGTTTAATTTAGTCTTTTCTTTTAGGTTAAAAGTTATAGTCAACAATTTTAAGACACTTACAATTTTCTTAAGATGTACATATAGAAAAAATTAACAAAATTTTATATGAAAAAACTAAATTAAGAAACTGAATTTAAAGTATACAGATACTAATTATTCAATTTAAAATTTTAATTTTCTTTTCTAAGAACTCTATGATTACAAATTGAACAAGATAACTACCACACACATAAAAAATGCTCATTTATTTTATGGAATAAAAATTTTCAATTTGTCTTTCGCACTATTACTTAAAATTAAATTAAATTTTGATTTTTTTAATAATATTAATTTTATATTTAAATTATTTGATTTTAATCAATTTTATCCTCTTGTCAATATAATCAAACAAAAATTATTAACATGGCACGGAAATTTTATTTAAAATTTCATTTTACCCCTAAATAATTTCTAAAATATTAATTAGACTTCTAAATATATATAATAAAAAAATTAATTTAAATATCTTATAATAATTATCTCCAAAAAAAATATGAAAAATAAATTTTAAATAATAAACTTATTGTTCGTTTGCTCTGTTAAAACACAAGTTACTCATGTGGCCCACATTACAGGTGCAAAACAAAAAAAATTATTAAATGGTTTAGGGTTGTCTATCAATTACTAAATGCCAACCAAGATCTCGTTCTAAAAGAATTTTATTTTTAAAAAAAATAGAACGACCCGCTCTGATACAAATTGAAAAATCTAGAAATCCCCTAGATATTGATTTGTGATTATGTAACAATTTTAAGCAGTATATAACAATCCCAATAAAACAATCAAGACAAATCAACACAACGATTTTAACGTGGAAAAACCACAATTGGACACCTCCAACAGTGATTAAAAAATCACGGGCAACAGCCACAAAACAATCCACTAAGAAGATTTAAAGGAATTACACAGGTATACTCTCAATTACCTAGCGAATCCACGCCTAATTGAACCAACCTCTATGTGCCTCTTCCAACCCCGTCTTCACCTCGGAATTGTCTTTACGATGAGCCACTCCAAAATCCACCGAAGCTTCAGGCTCGAATTCTTCAAAATCCACCGAAGAATAACTCTCTCTCTCTTGTGTATAGCAAACAAAACCTTTGATGTACTCTATTTAAACCTTGAGTTGAATACTCAATAAAACATAAAAGAAAACTAACAAAATATCCCCAGATATAAACCTTAAGAACCAAAAAGAAGATCTGGAGGAATTAAATAGTTTTGGGAGAAAACCAACTATTTATAGAAAATCCAAAAGTAATCCTAGTTTTGGAAGAAATCCAATTTCTTAAAGAAATCCTTGTCAAACGGGATTGCCAATAATAAAACCTAACAAAACTAACTTTCAAAAAAATAAAATTTGTACCAAATACAATGTGAATGTTCACAATTTATAATTAACATACAACTAGCCTTGAAAGATAAACTCATACAAATGTGAACATTTACGCTGTAATATGAAAACATAAAACAAAATTGAAAAAGGTAAAAATCGACTATTTTGATTGTTCGATGGTAACAAAAATAATTGTTTAACCAACAAGCATAGTAACAAAAATGACAAACATATAACTAACTTTTGAAAAAACTTTAAAAAAAACTCATACCAAAATACAATGTCAATATTCATAATTTATAATTAACATACAATTAGTCTTAAAAAAACTAAATTTATATCAATGTGAACATTCACACTGCAATATGAAAACATGAAACAAAATTGAAAGAAAGAAAAAATCGACTATTCTGATTGTTTAATGGTAACAAAAAAATGATTTTTCAAACAAGCATAGTAACAAATAATATATAAAAAATCATCAAACAATATATAAAAAAATATTAAGGGGTTGTTTGGGGTGTCCTAAATAAGTGCATTTTTTTATCTTTTTAGACTAAAAAATTGAGGAAAAAAATATAGATGTTTGGGTTAACTTTTTGACTTTTTATGAAAAAATATGTATTAAAAAATTGTAAAAATTGGTTTGTAAGGAAAAATTAGGATTGGGAGTTGTGCAGTCGTAATTGTTGACTTTTTGTGAATAGTGTTAACTTTTTAACTTTTTGAGTAACTTTTTGACTTTTTGACTTTTTCTTATCTTCCCAAACTTGACCTAAATAGTTCATATATATTGACGTGCTTTTTTAGACAAATCTATATATAATCAATGCTGGTATAAAGTAGGTGCATAAACTACACAATACCGGTGGCTACACAAATCGACAAAGAGACTACGGTTTATGTGTAACAATGGCAAAAAAATGATTATTCATCGTCAGTTTACCATAATCTCTGTTGCGAGTTCATCATCATCTCTATTATCGGTTTACAACTAATCTTC